AGTATTTCGATTTAGTTAAAAGTTTAAATAGTATGTCATTAAATCGAAAGTGTAATATAAAGTCATACTATTACATAGTTATATTTTATGAAATATTTTTCGTTTTTAAGACATATTTATTAACTAACAAAGTCAGATGTTTCGTGTTTAATTTAAATAGATTAAATAGAATATACACGTTAACATGAACATAGCTTAACAATAAAAAAAACAAGAACACAAACAGTACGTTTTTCTTATTAGATAATTTATAATTTTTTTGTCTCGTGCTCTTCGCCAATTAGGATGTTTTTGTACATTTTATTCTATTACGTTCAATATCTGTAATTTAATCTGCGGTCATAAGCCGGCGACACGGCCGTATAGTTTACATATCTATCTGCATTGTGTGTACTCTGTCCATACGGACCGTACTGAATTCTTCACTGGACAATGCCACCCGGATTTAGCGAGAATTTTATGCACAGCTACTATGAAAATATCCAAATATGTTTTTAAAATTAATAACGCACATTTTAAATTGGTCGAGCGTTAAAATTTTTAATTAATGTAAGTATTAAACCGATTCCACTTCTAAAGGTCACTTCGATTCGTTGTTATAGATGTGACGTTGTAACAGCGTTGGGTTCCTTTTATTCTCTGACTTGTGATATGAGTAAACCTTATAGTGTTTTTTTTAGTATCGATCATTAAAATAGTACGAACGAACGTTCGATTTGCATTAACTTATAGAAATGTCATTACCACAGCTGATTATACTGTGATAAATTACACAAAGAAAAGGTTTCGCGTAAAACTACGCTTTATTGTAAACAAAGGGGAATAATTTATATTGTAATTATTAACGGAGGCTAATTCTTGTGAATTGGCGGTAGTTCTTTTGACGTTTAACAAGTATGTACTTTAATTTATGTTGAATAAAACTTTTTTGATTTGATTTGATTTGATTTGATTTACATTAAAAATTTATGTTCAAATTATTATTAAAACGTAATAAATAAAATAAATATCTTAATAATACTTGAATCGATATCGATTTGTAGAAAATAATCGAGTTTCATTAATTTTAGATATTATTTTTTATTTGTAGACCGCTTTTAAATATCATGTGTGTACCAAACAAAATATTAACATAGTATCATTCAACACCTTCGTGTTACATAATAAAAAAAAAAAACGATGATATTAATTAATATTTATCACGTTCCGATTCTGATTATGAAGGTACATAAATTTACTTTCAAAGTTCTCGGAAAACGAACATTTATATCTCGCACATAAATAAGGCAGCTTAATGCAAATTTGTAACAAGAATCAGCTTAAGCGTGTATGTAAGTTGATGATTAAAACCGTCACGTGAAATTTTCGGTGCTAAGCGTGAATTTCATTAGAAACTAGTTGAACCGGCAGACTTCGTAGTGCCTCAATCGATAAATAAAAGACCTAAACTTTTGTATAAAATAAACTTAAAACAAACAAAAGGAATCCGTCCGACGGGGGACAGATCAAAGGAAAAACAAAATGGTTATTTTTATTTAATTCCAGCATTATCATATTTATTTACCTTTTAAACCATCTCTGGACTTCCACAAATAATTTAAGACCAAAATTAGCCAAATCGGTCCAGCCCTTCTCGAGTTTTAGCGAGACTAACGAACGGCAATTCATTTTTATATACATAGATAGAAAATAGATTATTATTAAAAATTGTTTTAATGGCAGTTCAACAATCCAGAGTACGAGTTAATGAGAACAGTTGGAATTTTTCGGGCTGTATTCATTTGAGAGTTTGTGTTTAAAAAGTCATTTTGCATTTAGCATAAGTTTTTAGAACGTACTATGTAATGCAAATTAGATATTGCGATTGAAAGTATGAAGCGCACTAATACACCTTACGAAATACGTCTAGATCTTTTACTTTTACGAGTACAATGATTAATCTACTAGCTATATATTATACTTGTACCTAATATATTGACAATGACAGTAACTCGTATAAACAATTATCACGTTGTCTGTATTTAACCAAATAGTAATAACACTATCCCAGTACCTTTGTTCTTTCTCAAGAACGATATTAATTAGAAAAATTATTTCCTTTGTCGATCGATATTAAGATAAATAAGTGGTGGATTTTGGTCTTCAACAACTAACAATAGAAGCCATATATAACAATTTCGCTGTCAAGTGAAACTGTAGCTTAAGAAATATTATGATCTATACTTTTAAGACACTCTACAGCAAGATATCTAAAGTGGGTTCCGTAACAAAGAGTTATAATTTAATAGTTTATCTATATATTAATACGTGAAGCAAAAACTTTGTATCCCTTTTTACGAAAATTGCGCGGACGGAGGAGTATGAAATTTTCCACACTTATAGAGAATATACAGAAGAAGTGCACAATGCTAATATTTTTTTTAAATAATGCATAAATGATAAATAAATCAATAAAGAAAACATTACACACACTACATACTATGTATTTGACGCACACACGGATGCATACTATTTATTGTCAAACTTCACTGAAGTATTTTGTTCTTGACGTCTGTTGTCAAATTGAGAATAGACTAAATATTGTTTGTCTTTGTTAATATTTTTTATAGTGTAGTCTTGGCGAAATTTGTGATTATAGAAGTATAAAATACAATCATAATAGTGTACAAACTTACAATTCCAATTAATTATAGTCGAATTTCGACTACTGCGGGACCTCTAGTAATAATAAAGGTATCAAATAGATCGATTAGTATTGTAGAAAATGTAGCCACTTCTTGCATTGAAATAAAACTAAATCTTGAAATTTATATAATTTCTTGTACATTATGTTATTAAAATTAATAGATGGAATATTACTGTCCAATTAATTGCACGTAAGTAAGTTCTAAGGGCCAGGGTTTAATGAGTTAGACTACAAGATATGTGAAGATAACGTAGGCGAATAAATATTTACCTTAATTGTGATTCAACACGGTCTTGTTTACAGTACAAACATTATGTATTTAGTCCGTTATTTGAATTAGTTTAAATGTATTTATCGTTTATGAATTTGAATCCGAGAGTTTTCGATATAAAAGCGACTAGTTGTATTTAAGTCGCAATATTGATGTTAACATTTTTTTTTCGCACATTGGGCGAGAAATATAATGTAAATACTTTGTTTTGCTAAAAAAACCCAAATACGATAAAATTGATATAGATTTTTGTGCGTGTTTTCGTGGCAATCTGTTCGCAAATGTGATTAGAGCGACATGTGATCATTATACTTGATTTGTACAACGTATTTTAATGTATTGTTTGATGAGTTATTATTGATAATGATGAATCGAAAATAGGTTACTAACATGAGAATTTAATAGTTTTGGTCATCCAGGATTTTTAACGAACGATTTTGAATTTGAATTTGAATAATGAAAGTTATTTGGTTGTAACATCACAGGGGAAGGAGTGTAGCGAGGAAATTGAATAAACCTATAACCGTTTCCTAACTTTTCTTTAATCTCTATGTATAAAAATGAATTGCTGTTCGCTAGTCTCGCTAAAACTCGAGAACGGCTGGACCGATTTGGCTAATTTTGGTCTTGAATTATTCGTGGAAGTCCAGGGAAGGTTTAAAAGGTGAGAAAATATAAAAAAAGCTCGGAATTATATAAAAACAAACAATTTTGTTTTTCCTTTGATGTGTCCCCTTGATGTGTCTTTTATTTATAGATTGAGGCACTACGAAGTCTGCCGGGTCAGCTAGTTTTTAATAGAAAATAATCGGCTACCCTTTGTTGATCTGTGAGGATCTAGGAATTGTTTAGAGATCTGTAGACTTTATGTTGGTCAATACATACGTGTCTGTTCACATTGAACATACATATGTCGCGGCCTCTGCTAAAATCTATAATTGCGATCGACTCGAGTCTAACCGACTCATAGCAGACTAATTATGTTTTGACCATGCAAATGTGCACATCGGATAATGTTAAATTACATTAAAATGTCACAGGACAATCGATAGTTTATGAACATCAAGAATTTCTTGGTTTTAAAGTTGCTGAATTGTTTGATATGACTTTTAATGTTAAGTCCATGCAAATTTTATTTTACCTTACATATTTGTAATTTCATATTTGTGATTAAGTTTTCATGGATTATAGGATAGGATATGTTATTCTAATTTTGAAAATTCATTTCTTTAGTCAAAGTACTGCTTACAGTAAAAGTATGTATTAACAGTTCATGCGTTGGTATCACATACGAAGATACTTACTGACACAAATTTATATTTTAAAGTTACTTAGGATAATTTTAAGTATATGGCGTAAAGCTTGTGTAGGTTTTAATCGTGTGTACTCTACTTTACGACGCCTATAAAAGACTTCAACGCAAGCCGTGAAAAGACACCTTATACTATGGCATTAAATCCAAACAAAATAGTTTACTGTTAATTGATTCGGTTATGGGAACTTGATTAATTTATACTTTAAAGTAAAAAAAAAACATGTTTATTTCTTATTAGAGCATGAAAGTTCCGTAGTCAATTGTTGGACATTAAAGATTTTTTTGATCAAATTTTATTAGAATCATTCGGAGAATAAATAGGTCACGTAATTACATAGATTTATAAGTTTTTTGGTTAATTAAAACAGTAATTGTATTTTGTTAATAGTATGTATTTACTACGTACTTTATAATTTATGTTAATTAGTGAAATTATTGAATCACAAATGCTTGAATCGGATTTTTGTACAATGGTTAATATTTAGTGAAAACGACTCTAGAAAATTAATTAGTGTCGACTAATTTACAAATGAAGGTAAATAACAATGGGCGATAACCGAGCTTCTGTGACCCAATACGATGTGACATAGAAACTGTACCGATTGCACCGAACAACGCGACCTTCGTCGGACAAAATGCGATTCGCGATCTCCTCTCATCGCATAAATCAGCTGGACGAAAATCCCATACAATATAAAAAATAAAATTAAAATTCAACTCGTACTCACCGTAAACAGACGGCCGTATTGAAAATAAACCAATCACCTCCAATGTGCGGGTCACAAAAACAAAAAAACAAAACTAAACAAACACAATAAAACCAAAACTGTACAGTGCGAAACCGAACGTTTATCGGTTAACGTACACGGGTTGCGAATTAAAAAACACCACGTTTAATTCACGTTTTATTATAATGAATAATGTGACGAGCGTGTAAAGTTTAGCATCGGGGAGAGAGCGCGGGTCACGTTCGAAACGTCTGACGGTCTCGAGGCGAATGCTCGGAGTCTCGGGCTAAGAACGAACTGCGCTCCGACGCGCTGTTTCCGTACGCCGCGCGACGGACGCATCGCAAAAGAAAATTGACTGCATTCGTACTTAATATACATATAATCGAAGATCTCTCGCATCCGGTGCCCACAAATCCTGGTCCACCATCAGCATAGCTACAGGCGGCTGTCGCATTAACATTTTGCGTGTTTGCCTCTTCATGTATTTGACATAAATAGAATGAATAAATGTAACTTACAAACATAACAAATCGCTAATACTTAGTCTGGCCACAAATACTGTTACAATTAAAAATAAACAAAATATTACATACATTTGAATTTGGAATCTGTCATTTTTATATGATTGCTCATTGAGTTTTCTCATTTTGGCGCCAATACATTGTACAATATTTTGCGATATTAAAATGGAGTGGGGTGATAAAGAGAACCGAATCGCTGTGATTGCATTACACAAAGAAGGTATGGAGCCAAATGCAATTTTTAAAACTTTCCATACGCTTGGTATTAGTAAAATGTTTGTGTACCGGGCTATTAATAGGTACAATGAGACCTCCTCTGTTTGTGACAGAAAAAGATCTGGCCGTCCACGTAGTATTCGTACGAAAAAGGTGGTCAAAGCAGTGCGGGAAAGAATTCGAAGAAATCCTGTCCGAAAGCAAAAGATTTTATCTCGGGAGATGAAGATAGCACCTAGAACCATGTCGCGTATTTTAAAAGATGACTTAGGACTTGCAGCCTATAAGAGACGTACTGGTAATATCTTAACTGATAATTTAAAAGAGAATAGGGTGGTAAAATCGAAACAACTACTGAAGCGGTACGCAAAGGGAGGTCATAGAAAAATTTTTTTACGGATGAGATTTTTTTTACAATTGAGCAACATGACCAAAATAGCAATTGAACAAAATGACCGTATTTATGCTCAAAGCTCTAAGGAAGCTTCCCAATTAGTCGACAGAGTGCAACGTGGGCACTATCCGACTTCAATGATGGTTTGGTGGGGTATTAGCTATGAAGGAGTGACTGAGCCATACTTTTGTGAAAAAGGTATCAAAACATTGGCACAAGTATATCAAGATACCATTCTTGAGAAGGTAGTGAAGTCCCTTAACAACACCATGTTCAATAATCAAGAATGGTCCTTCCAGTAAGACTCGGTGCCAGGTCATAAAGCTCGGCCTACGCAGTCTTGGTTGGAAACGAACGTTTCGGACTTCATTAAAGCTGAAGACTGGCCGTCATCTAGTCCCGATCTTAATCCGCTGGATTATGATTTATGGTCAGTTTTAGAGAGTACGGCTTGTTCTAAACGCCATGATAATTTGGAGTCCCTAAAACAATCCGTACGATTGGCAGTAAAAATTTTTCACATGGAAAGAGTGCGTGCTTCTATTGATAACTGGCCTCAACGTTTAAAGGACTGTATTGCAGCCAATGGAGACCACTTCGAATAAGCTTTTTATACTTTAAATTGTTTTATATTTATGTATTAAACTAACACACTGTAAAAGTAATAAATGTTATTGGCAATAGATTTTTTTTTCCTTTGTCTCAGTATTTATGGCAAGACTAGGTATATCATTAATTACTAATTATTACGCATAGTTTTACAAATTGAATTCTTAGGTAACTTAACTATTTCGATAATTTAATTGCCCCAGTTCAGGTTTTTGTCAAATAATAATGGTAGATATTTTGATTAAATAAATATGTTAAATGAAAAAAAAAACCTTTTTAATTTTTCAGTACATTTCGGCAATTTTTTGTTTATTTGTTGGGATGAAACTATAAAATGTTTAATTAGTTCGATTTCCTAGCCATGCCACTTTATATAGCGATTCCGGAGAGAGACATATTCAGAGTATTAAATTTTGACATTAGTAATAGAGATGAGGTTCCGGGAATTCGAATATAATCTATACTAATATTATAAAGAGGAAATATTTGTTTGTTTGTTTTTATTGAATAGGCTCCGAAACTACTGAACCGATTTGAAAAATTCTTTCACTGTTTGGAAGTGTATTCCCGAGTCACATAGGCTATAATCTTTTTTGAAAAAAAATTAGAGATCCTTATTAAAACTCCAATAATGTAACCCAAGGTGTAAAAAAATTACCTAAAATATTCTTTACATCACGTGCCCTGCGAAAACTATTGATGATAGAATAAAATAATGTAATACGACTTTGTAGAACACATTATTATTTACAAAAAGTTTTGCGACAGCATATGTCTAACTTTTATAGTTATGCCGCAAAAGTGTTCTTTTATTTAACAAAAATAAAACAACGTCAAATATCGTTGAAATTTTTGTTAAAGACCCGAGCGGAGCCGGAGCGGGTCGCTTGTCTTAAATAAATTCCTCTAATTTCAATGGTCTTATCAGCAATTTAAACAGATCTTACGTTATGGATAAACACATAAAAGTGTTATTATTGTATATTTTGATACAACGAAATGAGATTCACTTTAATTCACAAAAATACGTGTTACAACGTTATTATGGCACGTTTACATAATATAAACATCAATTTCGTCCTTCGGGCTCTTCCTTGAGGCCAGGTAGACAGGTGTCCTTAAACCAGCGGTTTTGTTTTCGAGAAAGATACTCTGAGATGAAAATAAATATAGCCATTTAATTTCCATAACAATATTTTGTTTCACATTTATAAATAAACGTTGATTTTAGATAGCAAAATTTAAGCGTGTAAAAGTGAAGATTATTGTAATGGATTGTTATTGAAACATTCATAAAAACTTTGTGAAATAAAAAAAATCTGTGACAGTATAATGTAAACCATTCGAACAAATCCACACATTTGTATTTTTTTATTGCTTAGACGGGTGAACGAGCTCACAGCACACCCGGTGCTAAGTGATAGCCGGAGTCTACAGACATGAACAACAAAAATGCTTCAGATCTATAGTACAACGGGTGTTTCGAGCTGGAGCATATTACTGCTTAGCGGAACGAATAGGCAGGGTGGTGGTACCTACCTGTGCCGGATCACTAGACCCGCTACACCAGTTACTTAGTATTTGATACACTTTAATGTATTCAGAATTTCAGAACAGCATTTTTATACTTTATGCTTATGACCGTTACGGTCTAATCTCACGCTTATTTTTTTTTATAATTGACTGTCCTACAATCGCTACCCCAAAAACAAATATAACAACTGGCAGCTAAATAAATGCGAGATTAAAAGTTTTTTTTTTCTAATATATTTTTATTTTATTTACTTAAAGTGATGACTCTAAATGAAACGCAGCACGAGTTCATGAACATCATAAGGCTGGCACGAGCGAACTAACCGATAGACATAGCCCACTGAGTTTCTCGCCGGATCTGAGTTACTGATGGTAGGACATTTTGTGAGTCCGCGCGGGTACGTACCACCACTCCGCGCATTTCTGCCGTGAAGCAGTAATGCGTTTCGGTTTGATGGGTGGGGCAGCCGTTGTAGCTATACTTGAGACTTTAGAACTTATATCCCAAGGTGGGTGGCTCATTTACGTTGTAGATGTCTATGGGCTCCAGTAACCACTTAACACAAGGTGGGCTGTGAGCCCACCGTTTCTGTGGGGGGCACACACTGCCACGACGTAGGGGGCGACAGCACGGCTCGCGTAAGGGACAGAGTCCCCACCGTGCTCCTTGAGCGCTGCGATAGCCTCATCTTGCTGCACTCGGCGCGAAGCGCTAAGCAATAAAAAAAAACTTCTCAGTGGGTCGCGATTCCGATTCCGATTCTGCGAATCACTGCTCTTGCTAGCGGTAGTGTTAGCAAATTGTCTCGGGGTGAGCCCCTGAGCTCACCCACCCGTCCGAGCGTAGCTGGAATAGCCTCTTAGGGTACCAGTGAATAGGTAAGGAAAAAAAGCATATAACTACTTACTGCTTACCTTGAAGCATAAGATCGAAGTCTCCAACTTATTTTTACAACGGCTATAGCACCTGCTTTGAAAGGAGAAAACAACAACAACAACAACAACCTTTTTCACGTTAGGTTTGATTAGGAGCTAGGAGGCATATAAGGGACCAGCGAAGATTTTTCACAAAATATATTATACTTTTCGGTTTATCTCAAAAGCGTAAATTTAAACATCGTCCTTTAGAACATTAATTTGATGACAAATTTTAAAATTTAATGTGACGCTAAGCACTCTCTTTACAATTTCGTTCGATGTTTAACAAGAAATGTTCACCTAAATTGCATATACATTTTCAGCGTCCAATCAAAACAGCATTTATTTCACGTCCGTTTATTTGGTTTTTGCAACGAATTCGTTCTGTTAGCTGTTAACACATTATGAGTTAAACTAACTTTGTAATTACAAGTGAAATACACTATTTATTCAACTACATTTACCTCTGCGACTCTGCGTTTTGCTTTTGTAAAAGGTTTGAAATTTTGTACATCTTAGAAGCTTGTTTCTTAGCTGAAGCAAGAATAAGGTCAAAGTAATATAAAGTCTGAATGAACCATTTTGAAAGTTTTACCAAATATAAGTTCTTAAATATTCAACTTTTTCCTTCATCTGTATTATTGTTGTGAGAAAGTTGATGTTTCTTTGTGTTCGTTAATTTATGCATCAAAAACAAAACAAAAAAATAACCTTTTGAAGCTTATATATTGCGATGACGTAAAGAAATTATATTTCATTGTTGTTTTTTTTATATTTTACATATTATGTAGACGACGTCACGGCCCACTTGATTTTCAGTGGTTTCTAGAAGCCATAGTGAAAGTCATCACCGACCTTGAGATATGAGGACGAAGTTTCAATTCTATTGTAACACTAATCTCCCACCCTACAAAATTGAATGCACGATAGTTTTCCGGCAGAAAATAGACAAGATATTCTTACAAATATCCAGTAAATATCCACCAATATTACAAATTTTACTGCCAGTAAAATTTAATCATTCCCGTAAAACTTTAGTAAAAACACGGTAATGTTCGATGCACTTGA